AAGCACATGTATAGCTATCTTTATTTGCCTGATATTCAAGAAATATTGGAACACAAATCCCTTTATCTGCTGCTCATTGTGACTTAAGAGGAAGTACAATCCAACAAGTCTGGAGGACATCAAGTTGGGGAAAGTTGGACTTATTCCTGATAAATGTTATTGTTGCTTCATCAGGTAGCATGTAAATCCTTCACAGGTTACATACATTCCATCTGCATTTTCTCTCTGCAGGATTCCAAGAGAGATCACAATGATGAACATTCACCAAGCTATCTGTAACATTCCCTTTCTGGACTTCCTTACAAATAAGCATATGGGAATACTGAATGATGAACAGTGATGTGGACTGAAAAAGCTACATAAAACTTGAATAAATGGCCCAAATTCCTTGTGTCCAGATGCCTGTTTACATTGTTGAGACTACGTTAACTTGAGTGATACAAATCAATGTTTCAACCAAGTTTTTTTTATTTTTAAAAATAAAGCATTTTTAAATATTTTTTTAAGAAAACGCTTTTTTAAAAATCAGTTTTAAGTTCACCTGTCAGATATTAGTGGCAGCTGTCTCAAAGTATGTTGTGAAAGTTAAAAGACAGCATACCGTGATTTAAGTTGCAGGTTTAGCATGGAAGTTACTTACCACAGAAAGTTTTCGGTAATAATTGCAGTTTAATATAATTTATGGATATTGATTGGCAGCCTCTGGGATTGAGATTAAGTGGATAAGTATAACGATAGACTAGTTCAGATATAATACTAAGCTATAGTATTCTGTTGAAAGAACAAGTCTTGCTTTTTTCTAGGTTTGTATACTCTTCTTTAAATGGACATGGTCACAAGGAGTTATTAGAGCCTTTTGCCGAAATTTGCTATATCATCTTAACTGGAATTAATCATGTTAAAGTAGCAAAACTTTAGGGAATAGGGTGAGATAATTGTCAAAGTTAATTAAAGTGAAATTGATTTCAAATGGTTATATTATATCCTCACTGAGAAGCTTTTGGGATTTAATAGGCTTCCTTTTCAGTTGTATTGTCAGGAAGCTTTCTTTGCTGAAAATAAATCTAAACAAAAAAAAATGCTACATGACTTAACCCAGTGATAATATAATAAAAATAACCTGATGATCTGAGTTAGCAAAGCAGCTATTCATAAAATCTTACCTTCTATAATGTGTGGTATTTCAGGTTTGACTTGTAGTTTGGCTATATCTTCATTGGAAAGTGAGAGATTTGCTATTATATTAGACTGATATGTATTATACTATTTTAATTTCATTGAATGAAACAGTCTAATTCTACACCCTAGTTTCTTTTTCCTAGAATAGCTCCTTCAAATACTAGAGGACTATTTTTGTTCATGTTGATTACCAGCTTAAACCCTTATCATCATATGTACTATAATGTATAATTGTGTGATATACCTTTACAATAAATTTTCTTTATTAAGTACAATAAGATGGAACTACTTGGTTTGTTTTATTTACTGGTTACTTGGTTTGTTTGGTTTATGCTGTTTTCATCTTTATCTTCATTGCATGTTAATTCAGGCTCTGCCATTCCTGTTTCTGCACTAATCTTTTTAAATCTCAGTACTGTTCCCATTTTTATTGAGAGAAGTTGATTTGCAATAGGCAACTTACCCTAAATTGAATTATATGGAAAAATATACTACAAAACTAAAAAATACTCTTGAAGAAATAATAGTCAGCTTTTTATCTTCATTTTCAGTTTTTAAAGTGAAAGAAGGACTGACTTACCGATTTTTCACTCCCAACTTTCTTACATAAAAAGAGATGGTTGCAGTTTTCATTTTTTGAAGCCAAGCTGCACCATAATATTCAAAACTGTGATTAAAATATAATATGGGAACTGGATTTGACATGCAGGAGTGGGATTCTACCAGTTCGCACCTATTCGCTAGAACTGGTTGTTAACATTCTAAGCAGTTTGGAGAACCGGTTGTTAGAAGAAATTACTGGCCTAATCCTGTAAGGAAGGCAGGAAGGAAACATTCTGGTGTTGCTTACAGAAATTGCCTCTCCGTTAACCCTTATTACATTCTTGGCAGGACGAGACTTCCTGTCTCAGGAACATCTCTGGAATTTTTTTCCCCTCCTTTGCTGGTACTTTGCTTGTGTGGAAAGACCATTCAAAGTTACAATGGCACTGAAAAAAGTGACTTATGAACATTTTTCACACTTACGGCTGTTGCAGCATCCCCACAGTCACAAGAGGCCAGGCGAGGAGATGCGTGTCTCAATGTGAGTGATATTGAGTTGGCCGGGCCCAGCCAATAACATGACCACCAAGCCATGCCCACCAACTTAGCCACGCCCACAGAACCAGTTGTTTAAAAATTTGAATCCCACCCCTGTTGACATGGTATGTTGTACTACTACAATACTACATCATAATCATAATTCAAAAAGAGAAAAAAACATAATTATTAACACAATGCCAGAACCATTCTCTGGATGAGCCTCTATGATTACCCCTTTTAATAAAGTTTATATGTTATTTTGCATGGCTCCACATTAGAACCATGAGAAGTATAAAAGAAATGCTAAACCAGAGCTATACTTATTGGCTTCATTTTACCTGTAATCCATCTGGTATATTCCATATTAGGCACATGCCGAACACATTCCTTGAAGAAACTGTACACAGAACTCCCTATCTAGCAGAAGTCACCACAGTATTCTAGTGGCAGCAAGGATATAATATTCTGGTAGGAAAGGTTTTTACTGTTTTGTGCTTCTCTAAAATTATTCAGCCTAAATATTGATGTATGTGTACATAGTTCAGTCAAGAATTCTGTATCTCCTGTGTAGATTAAATATTTAGTTATTTCTTTCAAGTTAACAGGCATTTTGTATGTAAGTAATGAACTTTAAAAGCTTTTTTTTCCCCCTTAAAAGCAAGTCCCCCTTGTCAATATTAATTCATACTACCAAATCACAGTGATGGCTGCAGGATGAATATTGCCATAGCAACTACATTCTATCTTAATAAAATGGCAGGGTGCTTCAATTACCTAAAATATATATTGCATGGGATTAAATAACATGGTTTATTCACATAGTTAGGCTACATATAGACGGTATACCAAAAGTCAGGCCCTACTGTCCAATCAAAATGTTTTATTAATATTGTTTCAGAAAAATATTACCTTGGAAAGTTCAAAAGCATCAAATAATTGCATCAAATAATTAATGAAATGTTTAGAATAAAATGGCAACCAAGTTGAACATTTAATGTAACTTATGTAATAAATTGTCTATATGGATGGACTTTTGATACACACTGTACATATTCAACAGTATCTGCATTTCCATGAACTTCTGGAACAACTTGTCTCCAGAAGTTATAAATGATTCAACACTGGGAGTTTTTAAGAAGAGATTGGATAACGATTTGTCTGAAATGGTTTCCTACCTAAGCAGGGGGTTGGACTAGAACAGTGTTCACCAACAAGTGGGCCACAACCCACTGGTGGTCCGTGAAGAAATTTTGGTAGGCCACAGCACCCCCTGTCCGCAACAGGTGATGCTGGCAGCAGACGGACTGAAGCGCGGGGAGGGAGGGTAGCATGCGGGAGATTGCGGCATCAAAGCCCTTCCCAGGTGTTCCCTAGCCTGCGAGGGGGTGGGAGGGAAGGAACCTCTGAACTGGTGCTGGGTGGTGGGAATCTGATATCCAGAGGCCGACAAGCCATGTGCTGAAGACCAGATGGCTGGCGGGGAGGTGGGGCAATCCCGCAGTCTCCCTAGCAAACCCCTGTCCCCCCACCCCCACCCCTTCGCAGGCCAGAGAACACCCAGGAAGTGTTCCGATGCTGCAATCTCCTGTGCGTATCAGTCCATCCGCCACCAGTATCACCCGTTGCCCCACTTCCCCCCCAGCCATCTGGTCTTCAGCACGTGGCTCGTCGGCCTCTGGACATCAGATTCTCACCACCAGCACAAAGTTTCCTTTCCCCCCACCCCCCACCCCCGCTATTACTTGATCATATTGTTTTCTATAAAAAGTGGTGGGGAGACTGAGATATATCCTTTATCAAAACAACATTTCAAGTCTTTATTAACCATTTTGATAGCTCTTTAAAAAAATCTGCAGCAATATAGTAATACTTATGTTATTTTTATGCTGGAAATATTAAATATTAATATTAAATATTGGACATATTAAGAAGGTATAGGTAAGCACCAAATGCTTACTAATATTCATCTTGAACCAATTTGCACCCATATCCCCATACTAAGAATACTGAAGTTTGCCTTCAGTATTATTCCTTACATTTTAAATATTTCAAAAATTGTCATTGGACGTAGCCAGAGAACCCAAAATAAAAAAAAAATGCATTTATCTTACCTGCTTGGAATATCCAGTTATCCAAACTGTCTTCCTAATGAGTGACAAAGGCACAAAACTTGGTGATAAGAGGTTGATCCATTTGTTCTTTCATTTCATTTCACTTGTATCCTATATTCCTCTATGTCCCTTTCTGCACCTAAATTGATTTTATCATCAAGCCAAAACTTTATTATGCTTCCTATTTTGAAAATGGATATAGATTGCATTCTACAGAACAATGCTCCCTGTTTTCTCAGCAAGAGTTTGTCTCTAAACACTGCATAAAAAGCAAAAACCTAATATAACTAATTATCAGAAACTTGCCTGCATGGACCTGCTTGTCTGAATTCAAACAAGAGGGTTCTAGAATTAGACAGCACCCAGGAAGTTCATAATGAGCAAAGTTCACAGAATTCCCAGAAATCAGTTATTTTGTAAAATGGAAAGGGCAACAGATTGAGAACATTCAAATGATTTCCATTAGACCAAAAACTACAGCAGAAAGAATGTGTAGACAAAAATACATTTTAATAAATTATATAATTCCATAAAGTACAAATATCATGTTCTGCCATATTTTTTCTTTAAGAAATAAAATAACTGTAACCAAGTAGGCAGTGTGATTTTCTTTTCTCCATTTAGTAAAAGTCAGGCTTACAAATAATTAAACCAATTAATGTTCAAAAAAATTAGATCAGTCAAGCAGAATTAATAGGAATTTCATCTAGAAACATTCAACATGCAAGGATTGCAATTTGGAACATGTTTCTACAAATGGTACCTACCCACTCCTCCTAATTCTTTCAGCGTGTTGGATTCATTTGGCAATCTGGCCTCTCGTGACTATTGAAGGAACAATGTTGTCATTTACCTTCTAGACAAGTATCTTATTATTGTGACTGTTCCAAAGGGGGTGGGGAACATGCTCAAGGAGATTTTAAAACGACATTTCTCAAGCAGCAGGCCCTTTAGTCAAGGAAAAACTATTGCTACATAAAATATTGTCAAAAGCAGTTTATGATATGGCACTAGCGGAAGGCAAGAGAGCCTCTTATTCAAACAATGAAAAACCACACCAGATACATACCCTTGAGACCTTTCTGATAATGTAAATAACTTTTCTTAGCTGAATAGTTACAATTAAGAAAATTTTCGTGAAAAAAACAACTTGCTGCAGAAAATTTTCTCCAAATTATACAGTACTTACACTTCTGTTTATATATGAAAAATTGGCCGCATGTTATTTGCCACATTTTAAATTATGGAATGTTAAATATGAATTTTTCAGTAAAAAATTCGCAAGGGTCTTGTGTATTGCATATCCAAAAATGGGACATCACTGGGCTAGATGAGAAGCCCAACCTGAATCAGAAATGTCACATGCCCATCAAAAACTTACAAAACTATACTGGAATCAGAACAATAAACTATTATTGTAACTTCTGCAAAAGTAAATGAAACAATGCATTAAGGTGGGGTGCTTATGTTAAACCCTGTCTTAATTATATGCAATATTAGGAATGAACGAGAATTAAAAACTAGTGTATTTAAAATGTCTAAGCAAAAATTATAATACTGTACAAAATGCTCTTTAAAAATAATGAAAAAGTAAAATTTCTCTTTGAAAATTAAATTATAACATATATAACACATAATTCCATAGCAATAAGCAGTGATTTTGCTTTTTCAAGACAAATCATGTTCTAGTTTGCATACTCAAAAACCACAAATGTTAAATAAAATCAAATTAAGCATGCACTCTTTTTTCTTTTGGAAAATTATATTTTTCCTATTTACAATATTTACATACACATTAAATAAATTACCTTGGCCATTGCTTTAATGTGTGGCCTAGTGCAATGCCCAATACTTAACCTAGAATAGCTACTAGGTCCCAAAATGTGAATTGCCTCTGTACTGTCTTTGAGGAGTTTTTTCCCCAGAATTTAATAATTGAATTATCAGCCTTCAGGAAAACATTATCAAAATTGAAAAAAACACTTCCAGGAAAAAGTATGCTTGTTAAAGATCAGTTAATTCTAAATATATAAGTCATGGAATATTGATGAGGCTGTGATCCTCTTGGCTGTGTGTTGGATTTTTAGCTGTGTTTCTTATTTGGCATATATTGATATAAATAATCTGCTCTGTATAATGGGCAGAGCATAAGAAAATAAAGCAACCTCACTTTTAAAACATCCAGCTTTAATTTCATAGCATGATTTAGGGGGCTTTCTTGCTTAGAAAAGAAATAGTAATATTTTGGTTGTAATACCTCTTAGTCATACCTACTTTTTAAACTTCACAGTAAAGATTAGACTTTCATTTGGGAATGTGTTGATGTGAATGTGACAGATGGGCTACACGTTGGTCATACAGCCATAAAAGAGTTTGTACCTTGGCTCACATGACCAACAACAGGATTCGGGAAAACAGTCTTGGGGGAAAAAATTAACCAAAGATATAAGAAAGCCATAAGTAAAGGGAACACCTTCACCCAAAAAAAATTGACATGCAATCTTCTTGAAGCAAAATACGATATTAAAAGTTTCTGAAGAAAGTATATAATTGGTCTAATAGTATCAAGCCTCTAGTTTTTCCTTTTCTTCCAGAACCACAAGAAAGCCAACATTTGATTGGAAGCAATTGTTGCTTCCTCTACTCTTCCCTGGTCAGGACCCACCTGGAGCACTGCATCCAGTTCTGGGCAGCACAAAGGAGAAGGACAAATTGGAGTGAGATCTGAAGAAGGCTTCAAAGATGGTTAGGGATCCGGAAATCAAGCCCTAAATGAGGTACAGTGAAAGGATCTATGTTTAGCTTACAAAACAGGCAACTGAGAAGAGACAGGAGCATAGACTTCATATATATTAAAGATGCAGTTCTGGGTAATCTATCAGATAGTGGATTGGCTGATTCATAAAGTGGTGGGTTCACCTTTGCTTCAATATAAACAGTGGCTGGGTCACCATTTATCATAAATGATCTAGCAGGACTAGATGACCTTTGAGCTAAATTCCAACAGTTAAATGCTATGTAATAAACATGGGAAGATGGAAACCACATTAAGTAACTCAGAATGAATATTATATGCACAGTTTCTTTGACTAAAGTAAACAATACCATTTATTGGGACTCTACAAGCGCATCCTCCTTGCTGTACACCTGCCCTCTGGAATGAGGCTCCCTTCCCCAGAGATCTGGATGGCCTCCACCCTGGTGCTTTGGAGATCCTTGGAAAACTGGCTTTGTTACTCAAGTCCCATTCTGGGTCATGTGGGTCTGCTTTGTTGTTGTTGGGTTTGTTTTGTCTTTTGTTCTTTGTTTTTATCATGTATTATTTCATTGTTCTTCATGTTTTTAACCTGTGAACCTGTGAGTTTTTGGGAGTTGAAATAAAATAATGAAATTAACTGAAAAAAAGAAAAAAGAAAAGTGGAATCCTGTAGGTGTTTGTGTTTAAATAACTTGGGAGGTGGCTGAAGGGCATAATATAAGTGATTAAAGCTACTCAACTGCACTTTCATTCCTATGATGCTTTAATTACTTTTACAAAATAATTATAGAATAAAATAAAACTCACATTTATGGATTTTTTGTAATGTAATGATTCTCAATAACATGGTATTAAATCGTCTGTAAAAATGTGAGACTCGTTTAAAGATGAGTGAAAAGAAGTAATAAAATTCAAAATCTACCCAAATTGTTTTAGGAACCCCTTACTAAAATGACCATGAATTAATGGAGATGTAAATTAATGATGCATTTTATACTGTATATTTTTTTACTTAAGAATCAGCATACTGCTTAAAATACTGTTTAAAATATTGTCTTTTTGCTTGCTAAAAGTCAGTGTTTCAAATGGGAACCAAGTCTATCTAATGGTAATGAAGGTATTTCTGTGAATCTAGGTCATTCTTCCAATAAGCTAGACTACCTTCAATTGAAATTTATGATTTACATATTCATTTTAGATTAATGAACTCTGATAATTACTATGTCTGCTTTTAATAATCCTTTACTTTTATCTCACCAGCATTTACAAAGTTGCATAGCTGTTCATTTTCACAACCTTAAGCTGATTGAACAGAAAATGGTCATGATCCAGATTCATATACTGAGAATGCGAGATGGTGCCTGGAAAACAGCAGAAGGATTTGAAGAAAACTTCGTCTTTGCTTCAGGAATCTAGACAGGAAAAAGAAAAAACATGGGGGACTGGTTGTAATACTGGGGAATTATGGATATTGTAGCCCAATAATAAACGTACAGAATGATTGGTTGAGGAAAGCTGACCTACATTATTTGATAGCATTTCTCCTATTGAAGGAATTAAAAATATTATTTCCTGCACATGGCTTGCCAGCATGAGGATGATCTATTTGGCCACCAGATAAGTAATGCATTTAAATGGAATTTGACTAGTCTGTCATGCCCATATGCAAGTAACGGAGGTTGGAGAGAAAAGATAATCCCTTAAAATCCCTTATCATGTTTCAAATTGCAGATTTTATTCAGATTCCCCCTTGAAAGATTTTTTTTTAATTAATGGAGTTAAAATAGGCTATAACTTAAGCTTCTTCAAACCTAGCAAATTGTCCCCCAGATATCCACACACAAAAACTTACATAACATCTCAAGCCCTTATATACATGACATTTAAGTTATTGTTTATGAACATGTATTTATATTGTGGTTAACAGTTTCAGTATGAGGTAAAATCCAGATTAAATACTTTAATGCCAGTACAAATAGCCTCATGCATATGTAATACCAAGGCACAAAATGATGACTTATAGATACATAAGGGACAATATGCTGAATTATGAACTAATTCAGTCATTTTGGATTAATATGCATGCACACTTTTCATCACTGTTATGTTTTCAAAAACTGAATAAGAAGTCTTCACAAAATATTAAGTGTGAGCATGGCCATTATTAATGGATTATAATTGATATAAGTATAAGACAATGAGGAAATGAATTTCAACAAATATAAGAAAGTTATACTAATTTTACATTAATACTAATTTAGAAAACAAACCTTCTATGTTCATATCAGAGCTATTTAAATTAATGTTCTATACATCAGATTATAGTATACATTTTTGGTGGTATAATTTTTTAAAATGATCATAATTTTAAAGCCATTTACATTTATTTAAATTTCACTTATTTACTACGCAAATAAGTGTGTTTGGGATACCATATGTATGGAAATCTGTCTTGTATCCTTATTTTCCATTTGTTAACTGCCCAATGACACTATCTGGAAATAAGTTCTCTAGACCTTCTTTCAGCTCTCACTTTACTTCATTTATTCTCCAGCATCCTTAAAAAATTCTTAAGAACATACATCCTTAATGGGTCAATCAAATGTGAAATTCTGCAGTGGTATACAGTAGTTTTAGCTGGGCCACATGAGATGGATGTCCCAGACTTCTACTGTCCTTAGTGAAAAATTGGCAGGGTCCCTATTATATCAGGTTAACAATTTTCACCAGTATACCAGCCTCCCTTTTGGTGGGTGTTTGGTTTCAAGAGATGAGCTAAATTCCATGAATCAACAAGTGGCTCCAAATGAGGCTATGTTTAAAACAAGAGGACCCAGAAATTAATATTGCTTAAATTGGGATTCAATTCAATGTAAATGGATCGTGTCCCTAGGACTACTTCTGCTAAATCAAGGCACCTTTCCTGACTTCTATTTCTATTGATTTCCAAATTTCTATTAATATTTATTTATTAATATATATAAATTAAATGTATTAATTTCTATTAATATTTAATGCTTTGAAGCATTTCTTTCTAAACTTGCCATTTTTTAAAATGGTCTGTTTTCTACTGGTCAAACTTTAGCAAATCTCTGCATTCCAAAAGCTTTACCTTAAAGTCTGACTTGTAGCTAGATTCTTGCACAAAGTGATCTTCTGGAATAATGAACCCTTGCGTTGTCTTTGTAGGCCTGGATCGTTTTTCCGCAGACCATGGGTGATATTCATATCTAAAATTAATTTGTAAAATGGAAGTTAAGTGGATGCTGTTGCTTTGAAAAAGAAAAGGCAAACTAAATCTGCTTTCCCATCATATACAGAAAGTTACAAAAATATTTCACTAACATTGAATATGTATGTATATTTCAATTATATAAGGTTGATTTGTGAGTAACATTTAAGGTGTTTTTTGAAGGAAAATGTTGAAAGGATTAGGAGGTGCTTAGGAGAGCATATAGCAACTGTAAGACAGCCTTCTCTGAAACCTGTATGTGTATCAGTGGTTGAACTCTGGAAATTACATTCCATCAGATTATGACGACTTTCATGGACATTCACAGTGGACACAAATGTTGATATGTGCACAATTCAAATTCTGACCTTTTTGTGCTTACATTGTAAAATCATATAGCAGTATGTAAGATGTGGAGCTTGTGTCCCGATACTGTTATTCACATTTCATCATTTTGATGAATGCGCTCAGCCCTTGATTCCTGGGCTATTTCATATATTATTATTTAATAAGCATTTGTGTGTAAGAAAGTATTGGTCATTATTTGGACACAAATGTTGCTGTGTATAAATACACTGGATGCCTAATGGACCTTGTTTTTCAAGCAAAGGCAACAAGTTCACTGCAATCAAATTTAACCTGAGGTGACAATATACAAATAGAGCCATGTTTTCTTGATTATAGTGGGAAAGGGGCACGCCATTGCCTCTACTCAGGATTTTTTTTTTCCTACGTAAGCCTGAACTCTTCTAGTAATCTCAGATCCAAATATTAACCAGGTCTATTGTCACAGCAAAGAATGGTTAAATGCTGCTGATGGATTAAATAAGTTGGACCAGGACAGGAGTGGTTCAGGTTCCAACTTAGTTATGAAAGTCGGTGGGTGACTTCAGCCTAATCATTTCTATATTAAATCTAATATATTGTCCATGTTCACTGTAAAACTAGTATGTTTAGGAGAGAAGATTCCGTGCATTATTTTAAGCTTTCTGGGAAAAGCCAGGATATAAATACCATAGATTTAATAAAATATTAGTTAGAATGTAAATACATATAACATAAAAGACTAAATACAATACATGATCCACTGAAAGTATATTCCATAGTGCCAATTACTTATTGCTGTATAAAGAAAGCAAAAATGATGTACTGAACTGACCTTCCACCATGATAATGAACTCACATGAGCTCTTGGAGAAAGGACAGGACATTAATCTAAATAACAACATCCTCAGTATACATTTGTGATAAAATGTCTAACTCACCTGGGAACGTGGGGGAGGGAGCACAACTAGCACGGAAGAAGCAAAGCCATTGGGGAAAGATTCCCCAGTGAGGGGACAAGGAAAACATGAGAAAGTGACTCTGCCTTAATTCTGCTAGGGAAGAGCTGGATAATTGCTTTGGCAGGCTTTCAAGATTGTTACATTACCCTACTACCAATAAAGTTCTCTCCAGAATTCTAGTGGTTCTCATGTCCCGAGTTTGCCTGCCTTGAAAGACTTGAGCAGATTCACAAGCAGTTGGTTTGCACACGCACACAGACATACACACGCGCGCACACACATACATACACGCACAATCTGTTGGGACCCGAAGAGATGGAGCAATGCTGTGCCTTGAAGTCAAGCCTGCAGCCTGGGGAGAAAAAATGGAAGGAGTTACCTGTAAGAAGTCCTGGCGATACCCGGAGGCGAGGAGGAAGGCCACACCTGTCTGGAGCCAACGTCCTTCTTGCTCACCTCCTGCCTTGCCGCCGGCAGCACGTACACGCGAGACCCTGCCAGGATGTCAGCGTGGGGAGAGGCGGCAGGGGCGCCCGCGGCCGGGGGCGCCCGCGTGGGTTCAGCTTTCCGGCACACCCCAAGCCAGGGCAGGGTGTCTCTCTTCTGCAGCGGCCACGCTCGGAAATCCTGCTGGTACTGAGTCTCTGCGGCGAAGGGCTCCTTCCGGTGCCTGCCCCTGCTTTTTTTCGACGGCCTCTTGACAACCACCAGGCTGTCCCGCAACGAGGGGGCGGACGCGGAGACCGGCAGGGCAGAGGCTGCCCGCGGAGGGGCTTGGGGCCGGCTGCTGGCGGTGCCTCCGGGCGGGATCCGGGGCTGCTGTGGGCTGCCCCCACCGCCCGCTTCCGCCCCTTCTTCGATGTCGGAGTAATTGTGGATGGTGAGCGGCACGGCCAGATCCGACTTGTCCAGCTGGTTCCAGAAGCGCGCCAGGCAGCACACTCGGCTGATGCAGGGCCAAGCCATGGCGGCAGCACCGCGCGAGGATGCAGGGATAGTTACCGGGACCTGGGGGTGGGGTGGGGGCGCCTCAGCGGAGGAGGGGGTGTTCTGCAGCACGCGAAGTGGCTTCCCCGGCTGAGAGTTACTTCCAGCTCGCTTCTCGGTATCAGGCTCCCCCCTCATACCACACTTTGGTCAATCGGTTTTCTTTAGGAGGCTAGCAAACACGTGATGATAGCTCAGTCATTCATTCCCATCCCCACCCCCTCCCCACCCGGCGTGACAGAAGGAGCTTAATGCAGCATTGGTGAGGGATAATAGGAGGGGGAGACTAAGGGGTGACACATAGCACCAGTCACTAAGTCTTTCTGCCCTATCATCCTACCTCTTTAGGCAGCACCTTACCCCTATTTAGCTGTAATCACTGCAGTCTGCCACTTCATTCTTATACATGTGTTCCATGAAGAATTTATTATACAGTACATGTCTCCTGCAATCTACATGCATTCCATGAAAAAATTATATACATGCCTCCTGCAATCTAAAATAGGGGAGAGAGAAACTCAGGTATTAGATGATTAATCAGGAATGAAAGGGGGAAAGGGAAAATAAGCAAGTGGCAATGTTCACAAAAGCAGCTGGATATTGCAGGCATTATACAAGCACTCCCAATGCACTGAGGTCAGCATTCTTCTTCCTTTACCAGCAGTATTTAAGTAAAACATTTCAGAACTGGTGAAACTGGTCTTTATAGGATTAACCTGCAGTATTTTGTACCAGTTGGTTTCTGAGTGATGCAGAGTGGCAATCCTATACATGTACATTATAGAAATCAAGCTGGAAGTTCATCAGTCAATACACCAGTTATAGACTGTTATCAGCTGAAACACATTAAAAACTATTCTGGTGAAGGAAGGACTTGAGAGATCTGGGAAAGATCAGAAAGCAGATAGCTTTTTTTCTGGAAGTGTATGACCCATGCCTTTCATATATTAACCAATGCTTTGCATATTATACAAATAAAAGTAGAATTATCCACTTGTAGTATGGATAATAAAATGGCTTTGAATTAATTTACTTCACAAGAACCATGTAAGTTAGTGAATTTCTTGACGTCTGTTTGGATTAATGAATACAAAAACAAATGAAAACTAATATAGCAATAATTAATGAGCAAGTTCAGAATTTAGAATCAATGCAAGAATCAAGTTTGGAGCCTGCTTTATTGTCAATTCTTAATTTTTCCACAATAATATATGGACAAGGGTTAAAAGATATTTCACATTTGAGTCTATTAGTTGACTTATTAACACTGGTCCTCTGTATCTACATTGCTTGTAGACCCTCCTGTGGGGTAATTATTGTATTATTAGTAACAACTATTGTTCTAAAGGATGTATATGTTCTCTTATAGTCATTCATTCCTGGGTGGCTTGTATATTATCATACCAAAACCCATACCATTCCACCTCAAGAGGGAGGAAAGGAATGGGGGAATGTAGTAGTATAACTGGATGTCGGCCACATATGTTGAAATATAGGTACCCATTGATAGGTATGTCTTTAGCTTAGAGCAGGGGGTGTCAAACTCGCAGACCAGATGCATCACACACCGGCCATGCCCACCCGATTTAGCAAAAGAGAAAAAAGTCATGATATGTGATGTGACAACATGACGTCGCAAGTTTGACACCTCTGGCTTAGAGACAGCAATGTATTTGTACTACCTAGTACCAATACTGCAACCCTGGACAAGAGTTAGTTAACATAACAGACAGCTGTCCTTCTAGGGCAGAGGAATGTAATTGTGTAACAAGACATCATAATGTAAACATTGCTGTTTATAGCACAGGTTGATAGTATTAAGAGTGATATTGCAAGCATAAAATATGAGGTCAATTGTTTATCAAAGCATTTCAGGAGAAAGCTCACAATCTAATTGTATTAGCTGCTTTATCTTTGTTTCAAATATAATTGACAAAACGTATGTTGGCAAGGAGTCCAATGAACACTGCAAGTATATTCCAATAAAGTATACTTTCTGGCTTCTATCTCCAAATGCTTTGGTCTTTCTTTTAGGCAAGAATTTTTTCAAAAAATAATTTAGAACAGACATACTATTCTCAGGAAAGTGGGTGCCATATATATATATATATATATTGTGTGTGTGTGTATGAGCCCTATTGCAGGGGCAAGAGCAGTGACAAAGCGGGCATGCTTCCTTGGTCCCACAAGATGACAATATTTAATTGAGAGGAGCTGGACTGCATTATCTTTATTTGAATATGCCAGGCAGATAGAAATGGAGATAGATGGCACATAGATAACACACCCTGTGCCATGAAGGGCTTTAGAAGTGATAACAGGTACCTTGAACTGCACCTCAGAAACCAAGCAGCAACTCATGCAGCTTGCTCGGGTGCAACACAAGGACATAACGAGAAGTGCCCACTACGGCTTGCACCACTGCATTCCGAAAGAGTTATAGCTTCTGGGTAGTCCTCAAGAGCAAGTCCAGGTAGAGCAAATCACAATAATCCAGTTACGAAGTGACTGTGTCATGAATGATTATTTAAAGCCCCCCCGCCCCCAGTCAGGGAAAGAGTACCATTGGTATACAGGATGAATCTGCAAAAGCCCCCCTGACCACAGCTGCTATCTGTTCATTATGCAGTGGCTACAAGGGAGATACAAAGGTATAATGTCTGAGAACACCTTCTGTATGTGTCTATTCACATTAAATACAGGTAGCTGAAGAATGAAAAATTTTCTCTAAAAGTGGCATTGGGATTGTTGCTTAGGAACTATTGTCCTATATTAAAAATGAATTAATTAGACAATTGATCCAATTTTAATTCAGCTCTAAGATACCTCAAAAAAGGATACACCCTTACTCAGTAATAAGGTACAAATCTTTGTTTCAGGTATACAATTTTATTTACCAAGCGTATTTATTTTCATTGTGGGGCTAGAATTTAAAGTCTTAGTATTAGTATGTAATTATGATTTAATCAATACACTATCTTGTCTCCAATACATGTGCTCATTTCAGCGCAAATATATTCTGAAATGTAGCAGCTGAGAGTCCGCTTCATTTATTTGGCCTCCATGTCTTCACTGTATGCCATGCTTTCACCACTGGTTCTCTATTATTCCATATTAGCTTATTCCCATACATTACATACCATCTTGAAAGAAAGAAACAAAAGAAAAAATTCACAAAAACACATTAGAGGGAAAAGAACTGCTTATACATAAAGGTAATTCATGATAAAAATAATTCTTAATAGTAAAGTCAGACCCAAGAAAATGACAATTCACAGGATCTTTTTGAACACAAGAAAAATATAGTGATATGTCATAATTATCATAACATAATATGAATACTTACATGCCAAACAGAACTCCTCCAAGATGCGATGCATGGTCAAAAAACCTCCAACCCAAAATTAGTCCTACACTGTCCAATGCAATAATAGCTTTTAAAGCCTAGAAATGAATAAATGATTTATTGATAAAGTGCAATAAGTAGCAAAACTACTATAGTTATAGACGTATCAGAAACATTTATCCCATACTCATAAATTAGCATCTGTTATGCAGTCAACAGTATAATGCACAGTCAAATGTACAGATTATACGAAATTGTGATTTGAATATACATTTTTCAACAGCTTAGCCTCTGTTCCTAATATGCAAAGTAGAAATGTCATCAAGTGTAGCATAAAGAAAAAGGAAATCAGCTGTTCCACTACATCTACAACCACTACTATACCTACAACCTATATAACGTAGTAGGTTTCTGGTTCTCACAGCAATATGCACCTTAACACTTTTTATAATATTCCTTTGGAATTTGATTTATTTGATTACACAAAGAATCCAATAATTTTGCCTTAAAAATTCCATTCACGGAATAAACCCACTGCCTCACTGCTCCATATTGTCAGTCATCTAGACTTAAATAAAACTTTCAAGTTTTATCTAATTTTGAAATGCAACAAAGCACAGAAAATTGCTCAGGTATATATGACAACAGGTAAAAGAAATTTTCTGAACAATTATTCAAAGCTACTTACATTTCCAGCAGTAAATGTGAACATTGGAAGAAATATTATAGCTAGCTTGGCTTCTGGTATCTTTGTACACACTGCTCCAAGGACAGCCATTATAGCCCCTGACTAAAATCACATGAAAACAGGACATAAATTAACATGCTCAGTCTTAAAAGTTGCGACTATTTTTTGTACCAAAATGCAATTGCATAAAAACTCTTTTTCATTTTTTTCAAAAGTCAAATACAGGGGAAAGATGCTTAAGGGTTTTAGTTGTAGACAGCCCACATACTAACAGCTACTTTAAAATAATTTTGTCTGTGACATGTTCCTGTGACATGAATATCAGTTTTTTCTGCCTATGGATCAGGGTTTTCTTTAGATTACCCTAGAAAACCACAATTAAAAATTAGCTGTTTTATTGGAACCAGTTCAGCTAATTCAGAGGAAATAAACTCAAACAGTGAGTGAGATTGATGTGGTGGTTAAAGACACTGGAAGACTGAGTTTCAGTTCTGCCTTAGTCATGACATCATTGGGGTCAGCCCTAGGAAGAAAAGAACGGCAAACAACTTTCAAAGTCTTCCCAAGAAAACTACATAGACTCATCCAGGCAACACCCAGGAATCAGGATTGATTTGAAAATGTTTACCCTCTGCCCCCAACCAGACAATTAATAGAGAGGAACAAACAGATAGCTGTAACATTAAACAAAATTAGTTACAATTGCAAATAAATTCAAAAATAAGCAAGATTATTACAAGATTATCACAAAAACTAAAATGGGTACTTTTTTATCAAGTAGCTCAACTAAGACACAAAATATTTAACCTAAAAATAATCCTACTTCTTGGTAGACTGCAGTTTATAGAAAAATCTCAACATATTAGAATATTATGCTAGACTTCATTGTAGCTTTTTAAAAAGACATCTTAAGTTCTGTTAAAGCAAAATACAGTAGGCACCAAA